TCTTTCTAACACGCCCCCACATATCTACCTCACTATGTGGAAATATTTGCATAATGCCACCCAAATGTGCACGCAAAGAAAGAAGCCGTGGTTTCAGTAGTGTTGAACGTAAACTTGTGATAATTGCAGAATATTGAAATAAGTGAAAAGCTGTTATTTCAAACAGTATGTGTTGTACGACACTATATAGAAGTTATTAACAAAATCTGCAAATCTTCATTTCCCCACATGATAAATGGAAGCATTATGGTAATGTGGGCACGCTCCGCCCTGCAACAAGTCGATTGGAAGGTCGCGTCGTGGGACGGACTTATGCAGTGGAATAAAAACCCAATGCAGAACAGATTTGCTTGCTTGCTGTCACCTTTCGCCGTGTTAGAGCAGTCCACCTTGTGCTCATACGCTTACCATCACAGCATCGCGGAACTCCAGAACTCAAACACTTCAGTTGAAGCTTCGTAACTCTGCAGAACACAAAGCCTTGCTAAAGCAGTCTATCTCTCAGAAGAACCCGAAGCTCCACTGTAACCCGGCAACCAACCACTCCAAGAGGGCTTCCCCAAAAGGACGTAATTCAAACGTCATACTCCACCACATGCTCTTCCCTGCCGTAACACCGCATCGCGGGACTCCAGAACTCAAACACTTCAGTTGAAGCTTCGTAACTCTGCAGAACACAAAGCCTTGCTAAAGCAGTCTATCTCTCAGAAGAACCCGAAGCTCCACTGTAACCCGGCAACCAACCACTCCAAGAGGGCTTCCCCAAAAGGACGTAATTCAAACGTCATTCCGACGTCACCGCAACAGCCAATCAGCGAATGAATTTCCATCCAGCAGCCATCCAGTAGCCACGAGGAACAACTCAGCTTTTCATCTGTCAACCCAGCAGAACGCAAGTAAACGAACAAAATCTTGTCTCTGCTGAACTGGTGAACGAGCTAATGTAAGCAGTAAACATAAGCTAAAATCCTCTGCTTTGTGAATTCTCTCAGGTGAATTTAAATCACTAGTGAAAACGAGGTAGAACTATGAAACTACCTCAGCGACCAATCCGAAAGCTCCGGGGTTCCCTCAGCAGCCATCCAGGAAGCCCGTGTCAGCAACGACATCATCTCAGCTTTTCAGCTGTCAACCAAGCAGAACACAAGTAAACTAATCAAATCTTATCTCTGCTGAACTGGTGTAGAGCTACTTGAAGCAGTAAACAGAAGCTAAAATTCTCTGCTTTGTGAATTCTCTCAAAAGAATTTAAATCACTCGTGAAAACGAGTTAAGAACTTTGAAAATTCATGCAGCTCCGTCAACTCTCATTCTAAAGAAACTGTATGTTTGTGTGTATGTGTGTTTTAGCTTAGTTTTGATGTAATCTAGGATAGCCAATAAAATTCATGTTTCATTCATAAAGAATCATTGTTGGTGTCATATAATTTCAAGGTTAAAACTTTTGCCAAAAATATCCTGTTGCTACCTAGCTCGTAGCTTACTTATAATACCTCTCTAAGAGCTTACAAATTATTATAATCGTGTTAACCCGTGGCCAGGGAGAATACAGATACAGACAATATTCAAATTGTTAAAATATACTAAGAATCACCGGCTCGCTGGACGACCCGTGATTTAAAGTGTAAACTATCAGATTTGAATTCAGCTTTAATCAGGTTGACTCAGGATTTTCAGATTCGAGTCCTTTTAAAACCTGAATGAATTAATAATAATGAATTCCCTTAAAATTAAGTAATCAAAGTCATTACAGTACAATAAATACTAATTTTGGCATGGTGTTGCGTTGTTACTTTATGTCAAATCTGAGTACAGAGGCAAAACCTACATCAAAACGATGTCTGATTAACGCTGTCAAACATTACAGCTGATCCTCACTTGTTTGACAGTTTCACCTCAGTTGGGCTCGCTGGACGACCCTTGATTTAAAGTGTAAACTATCAGATTTGAATTCAGCTTTAATCAGGTTGACTCAGGATTTTCAGATTCGAGTCCTTTTAAAACCTGAATGAATTAATAATAATTAATGAGTTTACGAAGTTTACATAATTTCAACTAATGAAATTACAAATGAGTAATTTCATTACATCTGGTGGAGAAAAATAAGCTGGCAAAGATTTGACCGAGAAATTAATGACCCAAGATAATATTATGAATTTTGTCTATTTTTATCCGGAAAAATAGATTAAAAGATAGAGAAACTGAGTTTGTTGTGCTATTGCACCTGTTGTTAGAGCATACCAGTGTGTTGAATGTTTGAATGTGAAACTCGAGTGTTGTTTAGGTTGGTGCGTTTTCCACCTCCAAAGTAGTCTATGATAAATAAATCTCCCGGCTTCAGAAGATTAACCTAGCTAGTTGATGCTCTAGCCATTTAATTCACTAAAAAAATAGTGAACTTGAAACGCGGTACTCAGAGAGAGTGTCCGAACGCTATTTACTTTTGGGAGAATTGTGAAAGCTTGATCAAATGAAATCGTGGTTAAATCCACGTGTGTTTTGTCTGTATAAATAGACGATGTGCTGATATCCGCTGAGGTATCAACAACAGTTATTGTATTAATTGCAGTAAATCTGTACATTAATTCACCTCACTCTGAACGAGTTGAGTGTTACACAGCGCTATAAGATAAGATAAGAATCTAAATAGTGCTTTTGGTTGTGTAGTGCAGACGTAAGCAACAGAATGTCAGTGTGTTTCGTGACCGGCTTCAGCATAAATAAACCAGCTAATAAACAACAGAACAAAGACATGGTATCTGGAAATGTTCCAGCGACAGAATCGCCCGGACCTCATGACCGTTTAACACATAAATTGATAATCCCGTCAACAAAAGAGACAATTTTAGAGCTCCCTGTCCAGCAGAAGGATGGCAGATCCACACTCGCTCAACATGGGCATGACCTCAGGACACCTCCACTTTTCCCCCTGCATTCCAAAAGGGGACGCATTCTTTTACCACTTTCCAGAAAAGCGTGTGTTTCTCCTGTCACAGGCAAAGACAATTCATAAGACAATCATTTAAAATCATTTAAAGTATCGGAGCAATATACTCCCAAATAATATGCTTTCTGTTTGATGTGTTATTGAAACCATGATATCTTAATCTTTGCATTATAACTTGTCCTTTTAGCTATTACGATTATTGTGTATGCAAAATACCTGTTATTTGAGCTTGAATGGAAGCTTATTTTATGTGAGAAACTTTGGTATGAAGGAGAAGTGAGAAGTATGTACAATACTCGCAGTAGGAAACTTTATAAAAGTATCAACCAAATCTTCGCAAAGAGTTTTCTCCACATAATAAATTGGAGCCTCGTGGTAATGTATGCACGCTCCGCCTTGCAAGAAGGCAAGTGGAACAGCGACCCGTGGGACGGACTGAGGCCGCGGATCAAAACCCCAATGCAAGACAGACTCCAGCGCTTGCTTGCTTCTTCGCTTTTCGCCGTGTTAAGAGCACTCCAACTTGTGCTCACACGCTTACCATCAAA